TAATGAAAATCGATTTATTGTTTTATAGGTTAAGTGATGTGTATCTGAGAAAAAAAGAAGATAATAATAAGGATGTTTCATCGGCCCCATAATTTTATAAACTTTATTCGAAACTTAACATGCCGGTACCATACCGATCAATTGTGCATATTCCAAATTGGATTAGTTAGAAGACACGCCAGTATTTTAATAGTGCCCAAGTATGACATACAATATAAAGTACATACTTTTTCGAATTCTCAAAAAGTTTTTGCTAACAGAAAGGTAGGTAAGCACAGGGATTGCAAATGGACTTGCGTGACAAGATTTCTATCTGATGCAAAGTCTAAGTCTGAAACAAAAATAACTGAGGAAGTTCAGCAGAGAATAATAGAATTAAATGAAGAAAAGCTAGGTAAATTAAAAGAGAGAGTATTAGATGTAAAACCAGTTACTTCTGATGAAAAGAAGGAAGCACAGACAGGAAAACTTGTTGAAAAACAGTCTGCAGAATCCAAAGAATCGAAAGATGATGTCGTCTCGAAAAAAGGTATAATAATATAGATAGAGTTAAGTTCGAAATATTAATCTTCTGATTTATAGCAAAAAAGAAAGTCAGAGTTGACAAGTCGACATGTTCTTTGGAACGTAATTTTATTACACCTGTGAGGGCTATGGCAGATTTTCTATTAAAGCCTGCTGATTTGGAGATCTTGCCAAAAACAAAAAGACGTTCTCCGTATGAACTTGAACCACCTATCACAGTCTATTGGAGGAAAGATGTCGAGGCTAAGTAAGAGAATCAATTTGATAAATTTCTATATACTTGTACTGAAAATTATTTAATTGAATGTTTTAAAGTGCCGCTTTTTTTGTAGAGCTTTAGAAGTCTGGGGATCCAAAGAAGCTTTGTTAAAAGAACTTTTGAAGAAAGAAGTTGAACGGAAGATCTATCAACAAAGTAAATACATATATCTTCATATATGTACTTTTATCCGTTTACTTAATTCAAAATACTTATTGCTATAAAAGGAAACATTTCATTAAGACAAAGAATATCTGTGCTCAGAAATTGTCCATCTTACAGGATCATTCACATATTCTGTTAGTCTGATAGGAATATCGTGTAATAATAAAATAAAATTAATTGATACAAACATTGAAACACAAGCTTTTCGTCATAGATGTTTTTACGGTCAAACGGAGATTGAGGGATTACAGACGGGAAATTGGCAACAAAACGGAAATAATTCAGAAGGAAGGTCTTTTTGGAAGATCTGGCAAAGTAGTGTTGACTGCAATTGCTATGTATGTAGTACATTTATGCGTATCGTGTAATTGTATAAATTTTTTCGATTAATTTCTTCTTTTCTAGAAATGCTAGTAATTTTTTGTGCAAGTTAATTGCTTGGTTATACACTGGCTCGCACAGTATGTTTTCCGAGTGTGTACATTCTGCAGCAGATACTTGTAATCAATTGATTCTAGCATACGGCATTCATAAATCGGTGCAGGTAAATAAATAACGTGAATAATTTTAGGATTTTTTCCAAGTTTAATTTATTTTATACAAATTATTTTACAGAATCCTAATCCTGATCACCCATATGGTTATACAAACATGAAGTACGTTTCCTCATTGATATCGGGTGTAGGAATCTTTTGTGTTGGTACGGGCCTTTCCATATATCATGGAATTCATGGTCTTCTTTTTCCTGCGCCATTAGATTCTCTCTTCTGGGCATATTTTGTTTTGGGTGGATCTTTGCTATCTGAAGGAGCGACTTTAATGCTAGCATTACACTCTGTAAAGAGAGGCGCAGAAGAAAAAAAGGAAAGTTTGAAACAGTTTGTTCTGGAAGGACAAGATCCGTCCGTGAACGTTGTGCTCATGGAAGATTTTGCAGCTGTAAGTTGTTATTCTTACTTTTTGTAAAATACGTTAATTACGCATTCAAAAAGATTTTTGTGTAATTGTTAGGTGCTTGGAGTCATTGTCGCAGCTGGATGTATGGGCTTGACCTCATATTTAGAAAATCCAATGTTTGACTCTTTCGGTTCGCTTCTAGTTGGTGGTTTGCTCGGTGGAGTGGCATCTTTTATAATCTATTCGAACGTTGCTGCACTTATAGGAAGAAGTATATCGCAAGAGAATCTCGATAAAATTAACGCTGAACTAGAAGCAGATATAATGGTAATACTAATCTTAAAATCAAATATGTAATATATTCAATCGATATTTTCAATATGTTGATTCTTATGTTTGTATACATTTCGTAGGTTCGTGCGATTCATGATGTGAAAGGCATTGACATGGGTAATAATTTAGTGAGATACAAAGCCGAACTGGATTTTGATGGACGAGAACTTACAAGATCTTATCTAGATAAACATGATCTTATTGCAATGTTGGAGGTATAGATTTTATATTCTTATTTTTATTGAAAGATGAGATATTACATCAGATGAGATAAACATCAAATATTTTTGTAGGAAGTGAAAAGTATGCAAACTATCGATGAATTAGAGACATTTTTATTAAAACACGGCGAAAATATCGTAGACATGCTTGGTGGAGAAATTGACAGAATAGAATTAAAACTAAAGGTAAATAAATATATTTTATATAATAATATATAATAATAAACATTATGTGGATATATAAATCTATAATAATTTAAAAATTATAATAAATAAACATTTTTAATACAATTTTATTTTTTCGTGATTTTCAGAAAAGTCATCCAGAAATACGGCATTGTGATTTAGAAATTCTATGAAGATTTGATATAGTTCCTTAACTTAAATCTAAATAAAACTGGGTGTAAATTATTATTTTAACATAAGGAATTATTTTAATAGAGTTACTTGGGCAGATGTTATAGGATACAATCTATGTTTTATTTAGTATTTACTACTACAGAGAGAAAAATCAATTTTTGTAAAGATTTTATGTATGTTGTACATAACACAGATCTTGTAGAAATTATCAATCAGTATAATAAATCATACTTCTTAAGTATATATTGTCAAAAATGTCTTATGTATTTCTAAAATGTTGCAATTTATGTACACACACTCTTTAAATTTTTTGGAATCTCGCTCTAAAGAGTGAAAATCGAACCTTGAAAAAGAATGGCTCTATCATCAATCTTTAAGATTGAGATTTCACTCTTCAGAATAAGATTCACTCTAAAAATTTTAAAGAGCATGTACTCTATTGTTTTACTTATATTCTCCATAAATAAGAATCTTTTTATTTATGAGCTATTTTTGTATGAAAAAAAGAAATTTTTATATTTTTGTTCCGTTTAAATCATTTTTTGATCAATTTCCTGTTAAATAAATCAAATTTCATTAACACACTATTTTCTTTTTTATTAAAAGAGACCACGAAAGATTGACCACCTATCATTAAATTCTTTTACATATATTATTTATATATAAAGTATTTTATGTTATGATAAAGAATGGAGTACTTGATGTATTCCAGTATCTGTTAAAAAGTAAAAAAAATATTTTAAGATTAAAATGCCAAAGTACTATGAAAATAATCATTTCACTTCTCAATTGAATAATTTTAATTATTTTCCAATAAAAGGATAGCTAAATAGTTAAAATATGAATTCTTATTCTGAATATTTTACTTGACTCGCTTTGAATGATTTAAAACAAAACTAAATATGCAGATGTATATTAAACTAGTCGTTACAGAGCTTAATACCATAACAAAGCGTTACTATGGATACGGGGTATCTTGTGATCCTAAATACACACTTATATATAAGTCTGTGGTATACTGAACGATAGTCGACCCCATGATGGTCAACTGCGAAGTTAAATTGTTAAATACGCTTGAGGGAAATTCTTATACAATAGTCAAAAGTTCCATATTGTGCAGTTACTTTAAAGTTTGAACGAAAAATTCACATGGACTTGTGGACGCGTTTGAAATTAATTGCGAGATGGTCGCAAATCGACCGTAGGACAGCTGAACGATTGATGCTTCGATGCGTCTTAAAATGACACGTGGAAGTCGAACCTCTCGAAGATCTACGGCGATCGGTAAACAATTCCAGCAGAATGACAGCGAGGATGAAGCTTCTGTTCGCACTGTGGAGAACGATAACTACGTGAAACACGGTAGCACGCTGTCGCAGAAACGATGGACCAGCTCGGAAGAGTCGAGACAAGAGTCGAATCGATCTTACGAACGAAAAATCAAAACAGTCAGTATTATAAAACTAAACTATTTATAGTTCAGTCAATATTATTTATAAAACTAAAAGTAATTTAAAAGTTGTTTAAAGCGCCTATAATAATTAACTGTGTGTGAATTATTTGTAATTTGGTAATCACGAATTACAAATTGCAACTACATTTCAGTCGTACATATATTTGTAATTAGTATTCAATTAATATTTAAAAATGAATGAATGATTAATTCACTCTGGCAGTGTATATGCTATTTTATTCATCAGCAGCGTAACGTTGTATTGATCTAATTAACAATTAATTTAATAAATTCTTGGCATTTTATTTGCGTCAATCATTTATTATTTATCAAGTTGAGAAGCACCAGGTAATTATTTAAATTTAATCCTTAGTTACGGCACGGATATTAAATACGGATATATAGCACGGGAGTATAGCGTACTCCGTTATTGTTTTTAATTTTCGGTAAAATGCACTGATTAAAGTAAATGTAAAATCTTTATTTTGGAGAATCTAAAGAAGAGTCCCGTATAAATGCCGAAAATTGTAAATTGTAAAAAATATTTAATAACGGACAAAAGCGAATTTTCGAACTCTCATGAAAATTATGAAAAATAAAAAAATTTTTTCAAAAAATTATATTTAATTATACTTAATTTAGAAATAAAAATAAAGAAACTAAAGAAATGAACTATTGAAGGTGTATATTTTAATTAAAAACTGTGTCAAATATTCCCGTAAAAGTATATTTATTTCAACAAATGAAATTATACACGATTCTTTTTTTTTTTTTTTTTTATGAAAAAGGGAAATTGCTATTGCTTTTTCGCGCAACCTGATGAAATTAGGTAAGAAAATGTATATCTATGTTGAGAACTTAATTTTTTTCTCCTACATCGTCTCTTCATTTTTCGGTTTCTAAAAATGCTGCACAATTTTCAAACATTCTAGGTATGCCATATCCTTATATAGTAATTGAAAGTTAAAAAATTATAATTGAGCTTACTATTCAACATTTTAGAGTTTTCCTCGGAGACAAGATGACACTGAAGACACGGAGACCGAGTCACCGGATGCTAAAAGTAATAATAAGTTACGCAAAGCCGAATTATACTCGACTCGTGCAGAAAAAATGCGTTATTCAGACATTCACGCGAGCGAAGAAAAAATCGCGTCGGGATCTCTTGGGAGGAAGAGGAAACACAGTAAACGGACTGAAAGACGAAAGCTTGAAGCACGGCCTCACACGGCAGAGGCCTTTCATGATCACGATCGAACAGATATCAGGTCTTCTGTGAAACGCTACAGTGACAGGGAAGGTAGCGTCACTGATAAATCGCGAAGAAGAAAGAGGCATGTTTCCCGAGGTAAAAAAAGAATGTTCTTTAAGCGACATTCTTAGTATAAGAATCAAGCTCAAAAAATTGATAAGAATCTATTTCAAGATCCTTTTCCATATTACAATCTATTTAAAATCTTTCGATTGATTAGTCGAGAATTTCAATTTTAAAGCAATTGGGAAAATTCAGTTGAAGAAAAAAAAATGCTATTTTAATGCAAAAGATCCATGTTAGAAAAACTTGAATATTTACGAGGAACAAAAATAAAATCTATAATGTAAATTTAATAATTTTCCACGCAAGAAGACGACGAGGTGCCCATCACCGAGATCTTGAAAAAGGCTCAAGAAAATGCGCGCACAAAATACGAAGAACCTGTGCCGCTTCCGGAATTGACTACAGACACAATTTATATTCAAGGCAGAAGCGGCTTTAGCGCCGTGAAAATTGGCGGATCGAGACGTGCTTTGGGAAATGATACGACACGTGCAACAAAAGGTAGAGGAGGCTGCGATTCTACAGAGACTCGAACCTATACGCTCATAAAGGTAGCAATCACTGCGCAGAAATTTTGGAAATGCACAGGGCTCGTCTATCAAGGTCTCTTGGGCGGTATGGCATTTCTGCATTTCATAATGGTAAACATTTTTTCTCAACTACCACAAAAGTATTCCTTAATTTAAACGTAGATTTAGATAGAAATTTAAAAAATAAATATTATCTGATTCATGATTGCAGATTCATGTCTTTTTTAACACTTCGATGGAATTCATATCAAATTACTCGATTTTCTCCGAAATATATGCGAATATATTTTCATTCTTAATCGCTCTTTGCATCATCTCCATCTTCGATAAGTACGTTCGACATTTAAAAAAGAAGATTTAACATAATGTAATGTTCGCCTTTAAGGCTCCTTGTTCATTTATCTACTAACTCAAATTATATCATCAGAAGCGAGAAAATATACAATAAAAATTCTTATAAATAATATTTGAATAGAAATATTTTTCAAAAGAATATAAATCTTTGCAGTCGATAGAACTGCAAAAATTTATATAGACCGATAATATATTTAAACTAAACTGTTTTCTTGTTTCGGGAAGAAATTGAATTGATATTTATTTTTATATGTTATTAATTTGATAATTTATCATCAGTACATAGTTTATAAAAAAATATATTTGCATATATAAAAATTTACATATAAATATTATTAAGCATCAAGATTTCCGCTTTAATCGGAAATAGAATTATTTCTCTTAATTCTCTTAATTTATTCTTATCAGTTTAATTTCTAATTATAATTTTTACAGTGTATTTTCTCATTTTTGACTTCATAATCTGAGCTAATGATGAGTGAAAGAAATTTTAAATATCGTTAATTTCATAGAAGATATATTGATGGTTTTAGATTCGATCTAGCACGGCTTGATACGGATCACTTGCGCGAGATTTACACAGATCACGCGAAAACCGCGATCGCCATTCCACTTTATCTGGTAACGTTTGGACTTCATCAAGCATCGTCAAAGATGGACGATCAATTAGCTCTAATACATTATCAAAGCAACGAAACATGGTCAAATGTAAGAATTTAATGACGATTTAATAGCCTAACAGAAGAGACGTGTTTAAAATTTTTTTATTTGCGCTTACAATGATTTTTCAGAATACAACGCAGGAAACTTTTCTGGAGGAGCTGAACGACTGGCAGAAGGTAATGATATCGAAGGACCTTCTCGCGATTTTCGCTTGGCTATTCGTCGCTCTTGGAACGCGGGACAACATGCTATTGACGCACCTAGAATCGATGGTGCAATACGCGAGCAACTCGGAATCACCGAGATAACATTCGAAGAATGACTTTCACTGTCGAATGAAATAAATGTGTGTATGAAGTTCTTCCACGCAAATGCGCAGACTGAATACTAAAGTATTGAAGACAGGAATATTTTAAAGAATAATTATTCACTGTCTTTTACGTAAAAATACTCACCGATGCATGTCGATTCGGTGTTATCCAAACATAACAAATCACGAAATGACGTTAAAATGAAACTGACTGAAAAAGTGACTTTTAGTAATCATGGCATTTTCGTAATCATTTTGACATCATTTTGATGTTATAATGATACTTGTATACTGTTTGGATATTCCAAGTACAAAGGATATATGTTATAAACGTTTTCAGGAACCAATGCTCTAAAGAAAAACAAATACGATTTAAACATTTATTTGTAACAGAATAGCGTTTGATATGTACAATATGTATAAAGTTCGCCTAGACACTAATCGATAATACATGTATACATAATAGCAAAGAGAGGACAATAATATTAAGGTTAAAACCCGCTAAACGGAAACTAACAGTAACGTTACATATCAATATCATAATTTTTCTCGCAACAATATAAGTGTAAAATGATTCATATTTTACAGATTGCATCAATATATTGGTCAGTATGTTAGATTTCCTTCTCTAGCAGGCATGCGTGGTCGATCAATTACATTTATAAAATGTAATTGGTTGATCAATATGTTGATGTAACATAACAGTACATTACTGAATAGGAAATTATAACATTGTTGCAATATTTAGTCTGCGTTCTGTTAGTCTGTGTTCAGCGGAGATAACATATGATGCAATGGTACAGTAGTAAAATATGTTTGGACTTTTTTTGAGCGCGAGAACATCGGTGGAATCTGCAATTGCAAGATTGTGATCGTTAACGATCGGCCGTTGTGATCGCGAAATAAATTGAGTATCAAAATTCATATCGTGGTACACAATGGAGGGGGAGGGGGCTATCGTCGATCGGCGGTAAAATTTCTGTAGCTTACAATTGTCGATTCGAGCGGCGCGCTCCCGTTTTTTTACGCGGACGAAAGCATTTATCCATAAATAATGTGCAAAGGCTTGTACTCATTTGCGAAGCAACGAATATATACATGCTGCTTGTGTGTGTGTGAAATTTGTTACACGCTAAAGTCTCTCCTTTCCCTCTTCTCCGCTTCCTCTTTAATTAATTAACAATTTACACCGCCACGACGTTCTTTTCTTTCTTTTTTTTTTATGTGTACTCTAAAATATCTCTGAGCTTAACAATATCATGAAGGCACTGTTTACAGTTCTATCGAGTCGATTTTTGCCTTGTCTTCGCTGCATCGGATACAGATCGATCCGTCATCGTGTTTACGGCAGGTGGATTCGTTTAATTATACATATTTATTCATCGACGCAGTGCATGCGAGTCAAGAAGAAAAAAAGAGATGTATAAACTAAACTCGATGACGTGCGATCCAACCGTAGGAAAATTGACATATCTCGATCAGATCTTTTTGTTATGCGGGAGAAATCAGACATGATTACATGGCTACTCCCATAACGCGCAAGAAACTTTTTGTCATGGCTCTGTACAATCGGTACTTGAATCGCGATTAAAAATTGTGCAAATTTGCAATGGCAGTATCGAGTTAGCGCCTTTGCGCGTGCAAAATTTCGTCGAGTTTATAAAATATTACGCTCGACGGGGAGATTAGACTTTGTATACCCAGATAGCCAAAATGCAATATATCAGTAGTTGCCAGCAAATTCAGTCATGATTTTGGAGCAAATTCCTACCTATTGTATCCTCTTTAGTTTGATTTCTGTCATTACAATTTGCCATAATGTAATAACGGAAATACAGAGCAGAAATGATCATATTTTGCCATCATGATGTCGTAATTTAACAAATATGATAACGTTAGTTGTCTTGTCGCTCGTTTGATATTAAAATAACGACAACTAAGCTTGTTTGATGTAAGATCTGCTCATTCGATACATTTCTACCGATATTAGAAAAATAATAAACTATCTCGTGTTGCTGGTGTTCTACTGCGATACATATAGTTTGCAATACATAAATCTCTTGGTAAATTCGGCTATCTGGCTAATTAACGTCAACGGGCTGACGATGCACTATAAAAAAGGATCCAGGTTCATTTTTTTTTTCGGGAGAAAATACCACAGAAAATATTCAAACACCACTGACAGCGAGAACTACAGTTTCGGCTAGTCGTGAGTCGCGCAACCAATCGGCTGCGCCGATCGCGAAAGGCCTTAGATACATACTCGAGATAATTATACTGGTCCTGCAAATGCGCCCACGCACGCTTGTTTATTAAAAGTGTGTTCGTATCTTTGTAATTTCTTGCATGGAAACGCCGTTTGAAAAGGCACTAAAGCCGGATTTAAAACCTGTTGGCATTGCTGCGAGCTCGTGAAAATTCTGAAACGATACAATAAAGACGGTACCATTGCGAAATAAATCATTGCGAAGGCACGAACAAAGCCGATCGATTTCAGAAGCAATCTTCGTGATACGTTTCAGTTTTTTTTTTCTCTCATTTCTTTGTAATAGCACCGTCTTTGAAAGGATCTATTTAATATCGTTGGTAATGCAGACGAGTCTTAAACCCAACTCCGTTGCACAAGTGTTCAACGATCAGAAGCACCTTTTGCCTTCAGATGCCCGAGACGCCGGAACGATTTTTACAATTTATGCGTTTTTACCTTTGAACTTTCGCTTCCCTCTTTGATTGTCCGTAATCACGTAATTTGCGTAAAGTTCGCGGGAAGCGAGGTAACGATCGACGAAGACGGCGCCGTTTCTTTATCGTTACCTCTATTTTCACTTGTTGATACCTTTCTGAACGCGTCAGGGGGAGGGAGTGACGAACGAGACTCCGCGGTTGAGGATGATTCCCTTTCATCCGTACGATCCCGCGGCTGTAATCGCGCGTCTTCCTGCCCCTACTCCGACGATCAAACGGTCTCCGGATTGTTTTGCATGTATCTGCACCACGACTGGCCGTTGTTGTTGCCCTCGGGGCATTGAAGCAATTCTCAGTCATCAAAGTCGTGCCTGAGCTTTATATACAGGCAGGAGCCAAGAACAATGCCGAAGAGTTCGAGGACAGACAGACCGAGCCCGACAGCGCCCAGGATTATCAGGTGGTCCTTCGTCGTTTCCAGGAACTTGTAAATGCAGCCCTAAAATGATAGACATTTATCGATCTTATGTAAAAATTACATACTTCTGCTGGAGGAGATTATTTATTCGCGTCGATATTTATTCTGAAAAATTACCATATTAGCCATATTAGACGGATTCTATTTTTTATAATTTATTGAGTTAAAGGGATGAAATTATATTGTGACCTTATTATTGTCGTAATTGAATAAAATATTGAATAAAACCTGTTCTTTGTCTTTGCACTAAAATTTGAATTGTTTTAATACGATATTTACTTAACACTTACAATGTTCGTGAAAAAGTATAAACTTATTAACAGTTGCACAGGCGACAACAAGGAAGGTGTGTTTACTGTTTTTTTAATAAAAATTTTGTTTTATTTGTTTATTTGGCATAGTAAACTTTAATTTAAACATTACACAATATTATTATCCTTAAAAAAAAGTCTTTAAAAAAGAAAAAAAATATATGCCAAGTGCATAAAAAAGGTATTGAATATTATATTTCTTTTAATAAAAAAACGGATACGAAATAAATGCAATTAGCCAAGTATTTCATAATGCAAGATACACAACATAGATTGAAAGTGACTAAAATGGTCAACAGGGTCATAGTGAAAAAAAAAACTTGGCTAATGCTCGGATTGCATTAAAACGCAATATTCTATAGGACATATCTTTTCCCATAAAAGTTTTTGATGCAAGTAAAACTAAAAATATAACTGTCTTTAACATTAATATTAACTTTAATATTAATAACAAAAGAGGAAGTTCACTTTTAGACATGTAAGATAAAAATAGTTGTCATTTCACTTAAAACAAATCTATCAAAAATCCATGTGTTCTAATATTATAATATAGTCAGGAACTGTAAGTCAAAAATATAAACCCGCAAATTTTCAATACGTCTTTTGGCCTTTAATATCTTACAATAATGTCTCATACTTGTAGGAAGAGATTTATGCTTTCCTTTTTCTAAGAAAATAAATTAAATTCAAATACAGGCTAATGTCACATCTGATAATCAATTAAGGAAAGCAGAAAAATTTTTAAGTCCCTGCAGACATACCGTGTACTGAATATTGGAGGGATGATCCCTTTTCCCGCAAAGTAACGTCGGCGTCTTACAGCAGCTGTCAGGTACGACGCTGCCGTTCTTGAGGACCTCCTCATCCTTATGCCACTCGCTCACGAGCCAGTCCTCGAATCTCAAGGCACCGCAACATTTGAACTGTAAATTTCAATAATAATGTCTCTCACGATAATATTGGGAAGGCTGAAGAAAGTAGGCGGAGTAGTTCCCGCGCGTGTCATGCACCCGTTATGTAAATATATTTCTCTTAGGTGTCTTTACTGAAGAAATTTTTAATTACTCTGTGAAAAAGGAAAGAAAGAACTTGATAATTAAAAATTGTATTACTTTGAATTAAAATAAATTAAAAATTCATCAAAAAAAAAAATATATAAAAATATGATGCTTTCGACCATAAGGGCACAGTACCAGACTTCTTAATAACAAATAATTTTTCATAAATGATAACTTATGTAAAAAAAAAAAAAAAGTACGTAAAAAAGTGACAAGTTTTTAACTGCATTAGAGTCCGTTGTTAATTGTAAAGACAGAGAAAGGCTCATGTTTCTTATCCTCCAGTTCCGTTTACGACGTGCGCAATATAAAGTACACGCGGATAAGGCAGAAAGGGGGAACGATGATAGCGGCGATAGCAACGATAATAGCCGCGTACGATAATAACGATAGCAGGACGCGTTATACGCCGGAGCATCGTGCAGTCATTGAGAAAGGAGGGTCAGAGGGAGCCAAGGGTGAATGGAGGGGAGTAGATTAATGGAGGTGAGAAACGTGTTCCGGCGGCGGCAGCAAGTTAAATGGTAACTTTAATGCGGGCACGTAATCCCGCGGGATTCATCGTGCACCGGAACCATTAGTCGCGATAAACACTTCTACGGATCCTTTACACGTGCAGGCGTTACGGTCAACGAATTTCGCCTTCCTTCCTGAACACGCATAATTCGGCTGTCCTATCGTCTTACATTAGAAGACGTGCTAAGATTAATGTAGGGACTAGATACAGAAAAGCTACACAGTGTACCCAATTTGAGTTATTTTTCATTCCTATAAGTGGTCGTTGCCCCTACTCAATATGTCATTAATTTAATTAAAACATATAGAATTAAATAATTTAACTCAATATATTCATTTGACTCAAATTTATTATTTACTAGATGCATATATTAATATGATCACCGTTTACTTTGAAATTACTAACAATAAATAATTCAATCATATATGCAGGTTGAATTACTTAGTAATTTCAAAGTTACCAGCGGCAAATAGGGCAATTAAATACGTTTTTTCTTTAATCAAGTACTTTGAATTAAAATAATACATATTACTGATTAAAATAATACACGCTTGGAGGATAAAAATAATAAAATGTTATTTAACTTAAGAAATTGGTTTAAATTTAATTCTTCAATATTGAATAGTGCATAAGATATTTTTCATCTATTAATAGCTTTTTAATTTTTTGTTTCACAATAAAAATCTTAATATAATTTTTGTAATATAAATAATAATCCTGCTTTTTTTTAAACTAGAAAAAATAAAAAATAAAAATTCAAAATATTTGATGAACTTGCACAGAGGCAGCATTTGTCACAACTCTTATAACCGCGACCAATTATTTATTATTTTCTGAATGGATGCCTCCGAAGGACTCACCAGAAAAGAAATCTTTTCTTCGGAAAAACGAAATGCATTCGAACACGTAGACGTATATTCGTTTACGTACATATCTCAGATGCGACTTTCGCGTTATAAAAAGTTATTGTGTAAAAATCGCATGAAGAATGGCACGAACTTTGTGTAAGTAAAAAATGTGTCAAATTCTCTCGTTTAACTCTCCGGAACTGACAGTAGATCTATAAATCTATGGAATCCATTCAATTATATTCTTTATGTTACATTTGCAAATTTAAATTCTTGTTATTAAAATAAATTTAATATTCATACACACTGAGAAAATTTTTCGGTTGAAAATAATCGAACCAAAAAATTCTGATCATATCAATCAGAATTTCTGGTTATCTCAACTAAAATTATAATAGATTCAAGCTAAAAATTCAATATTTATCCATTCTCAATCAGAATTCCAATTAATGTAATCAGACTTTTTTTAGTAGTATACGCATTCTTTTTTATACTGAGTTATGTTATTTTGGTTCTCTCAAAGAAATTTGTCTTTTAATTAATACAGATTAAACAGATTTCAGGCGGAGCATCAGTAATTGCGATGCAGATTTTGACGTCAGCATCAGTAGATTCGTATCAATAAGAAAAATCAATCGACTTCGTCCTCGACTGTGAGATAAAATCTAAATTAAAGAGAATATAGCAAGAACGTAGAGATAAATTTTTAGTGAATATTCCACGTGAGAGATATATCAAAAAGATTTTCGTGCGCGTTCGTCACAGTACCGATGTATACGAGACATTTATTTCCGTTCGCGGAGTCGCCTTAAAAATTCCCGACGAGCACTGTCGCGGTAAAACTCGATTTCCCGAACGGAATGAAATGCTTGTACACGTAGATCCTCTGTGTATAAATAAAATGCGAATCCTGAATTTCCCGCTTGCCCGACAGTTTCGCCAATTTTGGCGGACGAGAGGGGGTTTAACGTCGCCGTGCATTCCGCGCGAAGAAATGGAAACGAAAATCTCCTCGGGCGCGGCCAATGAGATCCGACAGAAGGGTGAAAATTGCGAGGCTCGATTTATCAGGGTAATGGGTATAGTGGGAGCGACTTAGCTGCCGCGCCATTATCAGTGCCGTAAATCGCATCACGTGTGCGCTTACAAGTCTAATCCAAATCAAGATGCTGCAGTCGGCGCAAAGGAGATCGAGATTACACGCACGCGATTAATGCTATACGCGACGGACGGAAATATCCCTTTAAAATAGGCATTATGTGCTCGCGATGGTGTAATCTTGCACTATCGCTCATCCGTCGAATTAATTCTGCAAATATAACGAGCAACCAGCTTAATCCTACGATTGATAGCTTCGACTACTATATGTAAATTTTCATTCAGATTTTTGCGGGACGCATAAGTGCATTCGGAAGAGAGATGCGGCGCAAAGCGAGTTTTTCGCCGCGAGCTCACTGTGGCACTAATCGATTTATAGCGAATGGGCGGGAAACTGTTCCGCGATGCGATAACGATGATTTACTATTGTAAGGTTCTCGTAAGAGAGTACCATCGTCGGCGAAGGACATAAATAAAAGTGTCCCGTTCGCGTGATATCGTGGGCACAAAAGCCGCCGCCACCGAGCCATTTCGAACTGCATTCGTAAATTAACGTCGAGCAACTCCGAGATGACGCGGGTGTGGCTTTCTTCCAATCAAGGAAACACGTAAGAGTCATGTGGTGTTGCAGCTGCTGTTATCATCGTAAAAAATATAATGTATATAAGTTTAAATTGAATTAAACGATCAAAGAGATTATATTTTTGCAAAAATTCCGCAAGTATTATGCATGAGAGTATTATTAGGACAGCGGCCGCTATTATAATAGCGAAATGTCTCTTTAGTGCGTGAAAAAGGGTATCAAATACACGTTTATTGATATGATTTCTATGAGAAATGATTTTTTTTAATCTCTCATTAACATTAAGTTTATCATTATATATATAGTGAATGTAAAACGTATTCGTATATCAGAGGAGATTTGTATTAGAAACATTATTTATAGAAACATTAATTAAAATTTATTAACAATAAATACATTTTATTCTAATATAAATAAAAATAAAACATGAACATAATCATAATTTTAGAAATTAAATTTCTCGAATATTTTTTTGTATTTCCAAATAATACAATTTTTCATTTTTACAACTTTCAGCTTTCGCATTAGAAAGTTGAAAATTTTCCCAAGTTTTTTTGGACACGTGACAGACACAAAGTGAGAAGAAAATTTCTCATTTTGTCCAGTTCATATAGTTTTCTATATGTTAAAATTACTAAATTCACAAAAACTCAGCAGATATGACTTTTGAAAAGTAGAGATTTTAAGCTTTAAAACCCTTTTGTAAATTTAATTTCGTTCATTTTTTACAAAGTTGCTTGAATTTTGAAGTTTGCAGCGCTACGAACTTTTGTCATCCCAATACATACATATTACTCTGTCGTACATCATTTCTTCCATTTTACATATGATATGAACTAATCACTCAGTGTTTATTTTTTCAGAAACTCTAATTCCCAGCAAGGAAAAATCAGTCGCAAATTGGCCACAATAGTTCATGATTAAAAGGGTACTCGCCGATTCTGCAACATCCTCCATTTGCCAACGACGATCATATTACGTATTGACAAGCCATACGAAACGTTTTCAGCAAACACTCAACGCTAGTATCATATTGCGTATTTCTGATGGCACCGCAACGATGAAGCACCATTGAAGCTGCGCAAAAACGTTACTTAGGGGGAGGTCCACAGCGCACAAGAGATGCAACGAGAATAAAAATGACAACGAGGGAGGAAATTGATATCGTGGAGTACATGCACCGGTATTCGTGATATCGGAATACTGGTCGGTGCGTCCTATTTTGTTCACAATTGTTCGACGGACGACTCTTCCAATGCAAACGGCCGTATATATATATATATATATATATATAAATAAGAAATTCTTCCCGATATGCGGGAGCTCGTACTTACTTCTTTCTGCATCTGGTCGATGGCCGCAGTTTCCCGGGATCGCACAGCATAATTCTCGAGGAAAGTGCGATTCAAATTCAGCTTCAATTCGGGACCAACTTGTTCCTCATACAGACGCGCCAGTGCACCGACTCCAGCTTCCAGAACGAGTACTGCCATCACCACGAAGACGTACTGTGTCGGCAGAAGAAAGACAAGAGGGATTAGGATTGGTTAAAATAATATCGGGATAGTCTTCCTGCAATTACGCGGTTACAACTCAGCATTTAACGCCTTTATTTTGGCTAATGAAAGGAGCGACGATGAAAGAGCAACGAACGCATCTCCGTCTAACTGAATGGAAATTCCGATAAAAGCTGTCGAGTGAATTCTATCGATAAAAAAAAAAAAAGAAAAAGAAAAAGAAAATGGAACGGCTTTTAATAATGAAGAAAAAAAGAACCGACTTGTCTCCCCAAGTAAATGCACACATTTTATATCTGAAAATAATTCTTCGAAATAACGTTATATGAAAGAATGACTTCTAACGTGCGCACTCTTTATAAACGTGATAAAACCCGAGAGTGAATCTGTCAATTCTACCGTTATATTTTCACACAGAGAAGCTTCACGCGTTATATAACGGTATTTATTTTTCGCGCCGTTATTCTCTCTCCCGTAGCTTTTTTTTTACGCCAAATCATTGATACACCCGATTCAAAATACGGATATCTCTGATGTTCGCTCTCTATCGAAAAATGTACCTTTCGTGTGAAATGGCGTATTCTACGTATAAAATTTAAAGTAATATTTATATATACAGATTTATATATATATATAGAGAGAGAGAGAGCGCAGGTTCTAAAACGAACGATGTTTACCGTGCTTTCGGGTAATTTGTAATACGGATTTACACGGAGCAAAGCCACCGGAATATACGCAGAGTCACCTCGTTCTTTCGGAGTCATCGTCCTTCATCTCTTTCTCTCTCTCTCTCTCTCTTTCTCGTACAAGCTAGCGCAACATATTAAAATTGCGTAATGTCCACCGAAGCTTTTCAGACTTTTCATGAATATAAACCCCTGCCGAGAGAACGCGCGCCACAGCAATCCCCCTTTTCTATGAATATTCAAACCTTGGTGACTAACTATCGCTCGTTCGTACTTTCGCAAGATTTTGCGACCCGGAAGAGAGAAGGACGTATATTGAGAAACATGAGAGAGGGAACTTTTTCTTATTTAATAATACGAACAGTTATTAATTCTGTTCCACGGAGTGGCTTATATTGGTATTGCGACATCGCGTTTAACTTCTTGGAAACTTAGTTGAATCGCGAGAGAGCAGAGCGTGTATTAGATGGATGAAATATATGTGTACGGAGAAGAGGAAGTGCGTGGAGAGAAGGAAGCTGCAGTGGCAGCTAATTTGTGATCGATTCTCGGCTACGCTGGGAATTAAACCATATCGCACGAGTAAACGATGCTTTCGCGTAGACATTTAGTATTCCTGGCTTAATACACGTAGTGATGAAAATGGTAAATGTGTCGCAGAAACTGAAAGATTGATGGGAGCTTGCTAAAATTCATGATTTAAACATTTTAAGAGGATGTGTCTACATTGACGAATCTTTTGAGATTGTTACATAGCACGATTGTGTCGCGTTTCGTAAAATATTTCAATCCGCACAATTAAATCATCCCAAAGCAATTCTAAATACATTATTAAATTCATCATGCCAAATTATTTTATCCAATTATTTTGAATTATTTTTAATCATTTCTATAGGTCGCCATTGCTCTTATAGAATATCAATATATTGTTAATTTAACTAAAACAATGGAGTTAAACAATTTAATTCAAGAAAATACATTAAATATATTTGACCCAAATTTAATTTATTTAATAAATACGTTGATAATAGTCGTTATTTACAGTGAAATGCACTAACCACAGAAATAGATTGATTTATATTTTGACACACATGGAAATTCAAAATAATAAAATATTATTTAGCTCAAGGAAAATCGGACTTACTTGCTCTTTTATTATAATATTTACAATATACCTGGTAAATACGATTTTGCTGAATTATTTAAAAATTTGGCTATAAATGTAGATTAGAAAATAATTTTGCTGGACTATCAAAATAATTATATAGGACGTTCAAATTGATTGCTAAAATATAAAGATTGTTTGCAACATTGCTTATCATATGTTTAAGTTTCCTAAATTATTTTCAAGGTCCAAAAAAATTGTTCTTTCCGTATATACTATTATATATTAAAAGAAAGATTATTTTGATGGTTCAATAAAATAATTTTTAGATCTGTGTATATTTAATAAAAGTTTTAAATATTTCAGCAAAATCATTGTTTCCGTGTACATAAAAAAAAAACAAATAATGTAATTTACGCGTTACAAAATTTTTTGAGAAAGCCTTTGGAATATAAAAGAGTTTGAAGATAAGCTGTTTAATTATAACCAGAATGGACCAGGGTAAAGATATACGCCACGTTTGCGGAAAACCGCGTTCATCTCGACCTTAAAACTAATCAACAACGTGCTCTTTCAGTCTTCCAATTAAATCGGGACGTATATACAAGTTAAACGTATATGCGAGAAATTGGAGCAGCCAAGAGTCAGTAAGATGATGATCGATTGGGTTTCCGCGTAAACACGTAGTCCAGATGCGAAGTAAAACATGGAATTTGCGACGCAATAACGCATGATAATTCGTAATATCAGATTGCCCGCGAGCAAACGAGCGACGACGCGAGATGAATGTTCTACATCGTCTTTCATCTTCGTAGTCGTTAGTCAGTATCCGTTTCAGTCATTAAGTCAAAACATAGGGAACAGGCATAGATGAACACACGCGGATGGTTTCCGCTTCCTTCGCATCAGCTGTTACTCGGAACTCCAGAGTGCGTTCGGAGTAACATTGAGAGGTTGCGACATCCGCTGCCGATCTCGGTACCTACATGTTATGTATCTAAGTGTACGTACATATTAGTACCTAAGTCAGTAAATCGTACGGGATGTATATACGTTATGGCGGAAACGATGCGGAGAGGGTAGGAATGGCAATCGACAGTTTGCGATTGGTGAGGAGGCTGACAGTGAAAAGGGGAGAGACGATAGATTAAACGCACCAATTGCTTTTTTACTATATATCTTTGTGTGTATGTGTGTATTGTGTAATAAAAGAAAAACACACACGCGCGCGCAATTTTGACTACGAGACGGAAGCCAGTTGAAACGTTCTCGAATATATTAGGTGCGCAACTAAGTTCTCGCTGTTATTTTGATGCATTTTCATAGATTGATGTTTTAAGGAGCTAACGGAGGCGTCGGAAAACGCAATGCAATCTTGACTATCAAGTAATTTTTATTGAAACAAGAAAATCGAAACTCGAAGCACAAATCTGGACACAATAATCCATGGGAAAAAGAAACATGGCCAACGTATACAGCAGAGTACACGGTCCAAAACTCTAAAGAGTCTAAAGAGTGTATATAGTTTCATTAACGTCCTAAAGTAATATTATATACTTAATATTTTACATTATAAAAACTTTCAAAACATATATTTTTATAAACTATAATATAGAGTAGATAGGATTTTTTTAAAGAACTTCATAATGAAAAAAACGTAATGTAGATTATGGAAAAAAGATTTTTACGTTACTCTATAAATCTTTCTTAAATCAACCAAGAAATGTTAGTTTTCTCTCTCTTTAGTATATAATATCCGCAGTATTTTAGCATTGCAGCGAATTGATTTGAAACTTGCAATAAATTTAGTTAATGTTTTTAATCTTCTGAGCATGAATAGCATCCTATTGTGTTCGTCGTTATGCACAGTGCAGCAAGATAAACTTCGTCTTGAGATTACCGTCGCGAGACATTGAGAATGGAGTTTAAGCTGGTCATGGTTCTTGGACTTAACACGAACCTGTGATGGAAACAAGAGCAAGTACCGGATTGCAAGTCGCATGGAGAAGACAGACCATGAATGCACGGATGAGTACTATATATTTGACGAGATGCCAATTACAACTATTGCTCTAGTGGAAACTTCAACATAAAATAATTGTTCATTATCGTGATACCTTAGTTAATGATTATATGTTAACGAGATTTAGACGTTTATTAAGTTTGTTGACTTTTAAAAGACGTTTAAAAGAGCCTATTTTTAAAATCAGTTACAGTTTTTCCTTTAGTCAAATTTGTTGTCATATAATTTATTATTTCATTGTTCCTTCTCGAAATATGACATTGTTCCGGTGCTACTGTAGTGACTCATGTATTCTGTGAAGATTAAAAAAAAATTAAAGCATTTCTATTATATTAAACAGTAACGTTACTATTTTAGTAAAATATCGTGGCTAGATATATAACTCTCCGGAGCTGACGCTATTTTGTGACATAGTTACTGATGCTGGGGTATACATATACATATAAGACCTATTTACTTTATGTTAATTAAAGGACACTAATTAATTTCGAGAAACCAAAATGACATAACTCGCGTAAAAAAAAATAAATACTAAGTAATAATTTAATAGGAATAACTTAAATTTGCAGATGTAACATAAAAAATTGAATTGTTTGACATTTTTAACAAAGAAATTCGTATCATTGAGTGGATCCAATAAAACTCTACCGTCAGCTTCAGAAGATAAAAATACAATATCTACAAGCACCGTAAAATGTTGAGAATCAAATATATAATTTAAAAGAGAGAGAGCCAGGCACATATTAAACAAATCAATTCTATAATTCTAAAAAAATCATACTTTGAATACTTTCACACGTGAATTCTAGATCAGAATTCTGAGCAATGCACGAGTCGACAAATAAACAAACAAAATCGATTGCAAAAAATAGACTGAGCAGACCATGCATTATGTACCCATAACTTTCTCCGTGTACGTACTCATAAAGCCTTTTCTCTCCTTCGTCGAGTCGCCAACTCGTGTTCATTATGTGGATTTACCTACCCAACACCGGCAAAAATCTTAATTGAGTACCATATAAGGTCTTGGCTAATGAGACGGTTCGCTCGTGCCATCCGTGTATAGATGGTGAAAGGGAGCAAGGACCAACAGGAAAGCCGAGGCAAAAGGTTGCCGAGGCAAGAAGGCCTTCCAGGGAGGTGGCCTTTTTTGCCTCGAGGATCGCCGATAGTTTAT